TGACTATGCTGGCAAAATGAGATTGACACTGAATGTCTGTTAGGCACTTCATCATTCTAATGCTGAGGCTGAGCTTGAAATGCTAATAGGGAAAGGTTTGTTTTTTTTTTTTTAATTACAGAGGACACAGTACAATGTGTATAATGCAACTGCTACATGGGTATGGGTTCTGCTGCATACACGTCTAGTATTTGCAAAAACAGGCTTGTATCAGTGTTATATCGTCTTTCTACTTGCTTCTTTGTTTCTGCTGCTTGCTGCATTAACCATGACTATAAGCTATTTGAAGTAGGGATTATCTCTTTGTGAGCCCCGTAGTACTTAGCTCAGCAGGATAGCTGATGTCTTTGTCAGTCTTTAGGTAAGTCTGTCACCTAAATTATGAACACTGATGACAACTAGCATACAACAGTTTCTAGTAATAAAAACTCAAAGCATGAGTCTCATTAAACAATGAAACTAAGTTTTGAAAAGATGCATTGATCCAAGATGCAGATAATACTGACACCAGTATAAAGATATGTTCAGATTGATGCAGCTGTTTCACTGTTAGTCCAATCTGTGAAACAGGAATTTTCAGAAAAGATGTGCAGAAACTTATGTGCTATTGTTAATGAATTGTTAATGCTCCGCTTGTTAAGCGTGCAGACCAAGAAAGTTGTGCAGCCTTTGTACAAAGTCATAAAGAGAAATATTTTTCAGTGTCCCTTGCTCAGAAACACCAATTGGAAACGTGCACACTGTATATTCTGTGCAAAAGCGTAACACATACTGAGTGCCTTTGCTTCCTTTTAATGTAGGCATTTATGGTCCATTGTGCTTTGCCAGATGGAATACATTAAATTATTTCTGGAGTTTGTCATGATACAGCAATACACACGCACGTTGTTATATAACCCATTAGAATCTCTGAAATATTTATAGACACTTCTCAGAACAATCAAGTTTAAATACTTTAGGGCAGAGAGCAGGTAACAGTCCGAAGGCATTACAGCTGCATAGGTAAGTCAGAAGCTGCCAGAAGAACTCAAACCAGACCTAAGCAAACAGTTTTGGGAAATATCTGTCAGCAGTGGGACAGTATACTGAGTTTAGGAGGTGATCACTGTGCTGTATTTTAAGCTTGAATCACCATCCTGCCAAAGTGTACAAGGTGCAGTGTTTGTGTTGTGACTGTCTGGCCTACTTACATATGTGTTGGGGTAGAAAGAAGCCAGCCTTTTTCTTGCAGTCTGTCAAGGAGCTAGTAAATTCCCAAACCAGGAGTTGGAGGTGATTAAAGGAGGGGTCACTTCCTTAGGAATGGTCCAAAGGAAAACATGTTTAATGAGCCTGCATATGGAACGTAGGTCTCTCTGGCGTGCAAATGTACATATCTGTCCGTGGCACTTACATGCAACTGGGCCAAAAGGGAGTACAGTTTGGTGCTAAACTCTTGAAGAACAGATGTTTTTGGACTAGCATTTTAACAAGCTAGTTTTTATGTAGTGCAAACTTGGGTTCATGAAAACAAACTTCCTAAATATGTTGCACAAAGTGTTCCTTGACTTGCTAGCAAATGTTTGAAATGGCATTTACTGAGATAAAATCTGGATCAACGCTGAGGCTTAGGTTGGCTGAAGTAGACTCCATGCTACTCTTTCAACCTTGGCTGTTCCTGTCACCCTCTCTGTCTTGGAGTTGTACCCTGAACCAGACTGGTGAATTGATCTTCCTGAAAAAATAGGTAGTAAAGAAAATGGGAATCAATTCACCAGTTCCCTGAATAGGTAGGTTCATCAGTACAGCAAGGAGGGCAGCAGCTGCTTCACCTGGGAATGACACTGAAAAATGGTTCATGTGGAACCACTCTAAAAAGAAAACAACAGCTGTTAAGTGTAAAATCTGTGAGAATGAAATACATTGTCTCTTGCATTTATTTAAGAAGCTGTGAATTCTAAGTTCACAAGCGACAAAAGAAGAAAAACAAGTTATGTCAGTCTAAATTCTATGCTGCTAATTCGTACCTCCATTTATCACCTCCACCTTTTAAAGGAAAAAAAAAAAATTGCTCTGCACTTCAGCCCTTCTTCAAAACAACTGCAGCGGCAAACGTGTCTGACGTGCCTCTGAGCAGCCCTAAACCTCCAGATTCTGCACTGGGGAAGTGGCTGGGAACGTCCCCGCTTTTGAGGCCAGGGCAGGACTGTCCCTCGCGTCGGTGTCCCGCAGTCACACTGGGTTATGGACGGAGTCAAACAGCGTGAAGGGGAAAGGCAACGGTACGGAGCTGGCTACGTGCCTGACAGAGGTGCTGCTATACTGGCACTGCAGCATCCAGCACTAGTACGTTAGCAATTGATTCTGTGCCTATAGTGTTTTCTCCTCATTTTAGTGTTCTAAAAGCAAAATACGGAGAATGGAGTGTAACAGTAAGTAAAGGAAAAAAAAGGAGGGCCAGGGCCTTCGAGAATGAAGCAACTCCAATGCTGTACAGATTGGTGAACTCTAGTTTAAGGTGTATCTCTGCTAGTCCTGAAGAGCAGAACTGCGGGTGCTGATTTTTTTCTTCCTTTTCATTGGCGCAGTCGGGATGCCTTTGCGTTTTTGAGGCTGCAATAACACTAAAAGCGGCTGCAAAGGTAAAGCAGACGCACACGGAACCGGCCGCTCTGTTTACGCACGCCGATGGCTGGGGACAGCGCTCGTTGCTATGGGAGAGCACACGCGCACACAGGCCAGCGGTGACCGACGCCTTCACTCGGGCCCGCGGAAGAAAGGCAGGAAAGAAAGGAAGGGCCAGACCAGGCCCTTCCTCTCACGAAGCCGCTGCGGCAG